TTGTTGAAAGATTCACCATTTTGTCTTGTATTACCAGGTAGGTTTCAAATCAAGCACATTTTGCCTTTTGGGCATCTTCACCTCTTGTGAATCTTTCTCTTTATATACCCCTAATAGTTTTATTTTAACACACACACACACCATCATTTGGCAAAATGGATATCTTCTATGCTTCTCTCCTATCTCTTTTTGTTCTTGTGGTTTCTTTCTCTCTTCATTTTTTCATCTACAAGTTGAAAACGACGGAAGACGGGAGAGTACTTCCACCMGGTAGAACAGGGTGGCCCATTATTGGAGAAAGTTTTGAATTTCTTGCAACAGGATGGAAAGGCCATCCTGAAAAGTTCATATTTGACCGTATGTCAAAGTTTTCACCTATAGTGTTTAGGACATCTCTTATGCTTGAGGATGCTGCAGTGTTTTGTGGGGCCCAAGGTAACAAGTTCTTGTTCTCAAATGAGAACAAGCTTGTACAGGGATGGTGGCCCGCTTCAGTTGATAAAATCTTCCCTTCATCTGATAAGACCTCGAAGATAGAAGCTATTAAGATGAGAAAGATGCTTCCCAACTTCTTCAAGCCTGAAGCCCTACACCGTTATGTCCCCATTATGGATGTTGTAACACAACAACACTTTGCTAATGGATGGGAGGGGAAGGATGAAGTTGTGACTTATGAACTCACCAAGAACTTCACCTTTTGGCTTGCATGCAAAATCTTTGTCAGTATTGATGACCCTGAACGGGTCAGATACCTATCTGGCCCGTTTGAGAGCATCGCTTTGGGGCTCCTTTCGATCCCCATTAACCTTCCTAGAACACCATTCCGAAGAGGGATCAATGCGGCCAATTTTATCAGAAAAGAGCTCATAGCGATAGTCAAGCAAAGAAAGATTGATTTGGCTCAAGGGAAAGCAACACCAACTCAAGACATATTGTCACACATGCTTCTGTTTAGCGATGAAGATGGGAAGTTCATGGGAGAATACGAYATCGCTGACAAGATTCTAGGGTTGTTGATTGGTGGCCATGACACTGCAAGCTCCGCTTGTGCTTTTCTCGTCAAGTATCTTGCTGAGTTGCCTGAGATCTATGATGGAGTCTACAAAGGTATATACGCTTTTAGCAAATAGATTCAATACTCAAACACATACTTATAGTTATCAAAGATGAAAATTAGAAGGCATGATATTTATTTGTCATGTTTGGTAAACATATGTAGAACAAATGGAGATCGCAAAATCTAAAGCACCTGGAGAATTGTTGACTTGGGAGGATCTATCAAAGATGAAGTACTCATGGAATGTTGCATGTGAAGTTCTTAGATTAGCACCACCCCTCCAAGGTGCTTTTAGAGAAGCCATTACTGATTTTATGTACAATGGTTATTCTATACCTAAGGGTTGGAAGGTAATTTACACATTACATAATGTTTACAAAAGGACTTCATTTAGAAATCAAAAATATATTAGGAATCGAGGAAACAAATATTCATTATGAATATACATAAATATTCGTGATTTAGAATGAACAATCATATATATATATATATATATATATATAT